GTTTTCTTCTTCCTACTGATCCTCGGGCCACCTTTCATTCCCTCCTGCAGTCACTACTGTTGTGATCCACACCTTCCCCAGCCAGTTTCTCTAAGATATTTCCAATCAATCTATCCCACATAATGATTCCTGTTAATGTTCATCCAGCTCACAGAGTTCATGAAGCAGCATTGGCAGATTTGATGTTCTATTTCTGGCCCTGTAGGAAGGATTCAGGGGGAGGGCTTGATGTACAGTAATGTCCTAGGCCTTCACATTCACTCACCACTCACTCGTTCACCCAGAGCAGCTTCCAGTCCTTCAAGCTCCATTCATCATAAGCGCCCTATACAGATGTATCATTTTTTTAACTTTTATACCATACTAGAGGCCCAGTGCACGAAATTCGTGCACGGGGGTGGGGAGGGGGTGAGGGTGTCCCTCAGCCCAGTCTGCACCATCTCCAATCTGGGATCCTTCAGGGATGTCCCTGTGGGATTGGGCCTAAACTGGCAGTCAGACATCCCTCTCACAATCCAGGACTGCTGGCTCCCAACTGCTCGCCTCCTTGCCTGCCTGATTGCTCCTAACGGCTTCTGCCTGCCAGCCTGATCACCCCCTAACCGCTCCCCTGCTGGCCTGATTAATACCTAACTGCTCTCCTGCCAGCCCAATCGCCCCTAACTGCCCTCCCCTGCCATCCTGGTTCCCCCACAAATGCCCTCCCCTGCCGGCCTGATGGCGTCCAACAGCACTCCCCTGCCGGCCTGAGTAACAACTCCCCTGCCAGCCAGATCAGTGCGTAACTGCTTCCCTGCCGGACTGATCACCCCCAACTGCCCTTCCCTGCTGGCCCGATCACCCCCAACTGCCCTGCCAGGCTGGCCTGGTTGCCCCTAACTGCTCTCCCCTGCAGGCCCAGCTGCCCGAACTGCCCTACCCTGCCAGCATGGTCGCCCTTAACTGCCCTCCCCTGCTGGCCTGATCACCCACAACTGCCCTCCCCTGCTGGCCATCTTGCGGTGGCCATCTTGTGACCACATGGGGGCAGCCATCTTTTGCAAGGTTGTGATGGTCAATTTGCATATTACCACTTTATTATATAGGATTCTTACTGTATTTTTTCTATGTTTTGATATGTTCACATATACAAGTACTTATCATTTTTACAATTGCCTACAGTATTAAGTAACATGTTGTAAAGGTTTGTAGCTTAAGAGCAATAGATTATATCATTTGGCCTAAGTGTAATAGGCTAGACCAGTGGTCAGCAAACTCATTAGTCAACAGAGCCAAATATCAACAGTTCAACAATTGAAATTTCTTTTGAGAGCCAAATTTTTTAAACTTAAACTATATAGGTAGGTACATTGTTATTAACTTAATTAGGGTACTCCTAAGGCTTAGGAAGAGCCCTAAGGAGCCAAAGAGCCGCATGTGGCTCGCAAGCCACAGTTTGCCGACCATGGGGCTAGACTAGACCATCTAGGTTTTTGTAAGTGCTATCTATGGTGTTTGCAACATGACAAAATCACCTCATGACAAATTTATCAGAATATATCCCCATTGTTGTGACATATAACTGTATAATATTGTTCTTAAAACCACTCCAAGTTTAAAGTATATAATGTGATGATTTGATATATGTATATATTGTGAAATTATTACCATAAGGTTAGCTAACACATTTATCTTCTCATGTAAATTACCTTTTTTTGTGATGAACATTTAAGATATACCCTCTTAGTAATCTTCAAGTATGCAATACAATATTGTTAACTATATTCACCATGCATTAGATCCCCAGAACTTATTCATTTTCTATTTAGAAGTTTGAACCTTCACTCCATGGCAATCACCACTCTACACTGTTTCTATGAGCTTGGCTTTTTTAGACTCCACATATAACTGGGATCATACATATTGTTCTTTCTCTGTCTGACTATTTCACTTAGCATAATCCCCTACAGTTAGATTCATCCATATTATCACAAATGGTAGAACTTCCTTCTTTCTCATGGCTGAATAATATTCCAGTGTGTGTATGTGTGTGTTGTGTGTGTGGTGTGTGTGTAGTAAGTCCACACTTAACTTCACTTATAAATTCTGCAACTTTAAGTGAAATGATATATAAAGAACCAATTTTAGCAGAGGCTAATTGATATAAATAAGAGTTAAGTTCTTATGTCATCTAACATCTCCATTGGGTTATGCTATCAACATGATAGGATGAACTTGATCAGCAATGATACTTAGGTATGTTGTGCTATTCAGATGTTTATAATAGTCTGGCCCTCTAGCAACTTCAGTGTGAAATTATAGCTAATTTGTCTATAAATGTCAGGTAGTCATAATAATCTGGCCACTCAGTGTATATATACATTTTCATTATCCATTCATCCATCAATGTATACTTAGGTTGTTTCCATATCTTGACTACTGTGAATAATGCTGCATGGGGCACAGGTATCCCTTCAAGATAGTGACTTCATTTCCTTTGGATATGTACTCAGAAGTACAATTGCTGGATCATATGGGAGTTCCACTTTTAATTTTTTTAGGAACTTCCATATTGTTTTCCAGAGCTGTTGTACAAGTTTACATGCCCACCAACAGTGCACAAAGGTTCTCTTTTCTTCACATCTTTGCCAATACTTCTCATCTTTTTTATAATAGTCATTCTGATAAGTATGAAGTGATATTGTATTGTTTTGGTTTGCATTTCCCTAATGATTACTGATATTGAGCATGTTTTCAGGTACCTGTTCGGCATCTGTATGTCTGACTCAGTGATATTTAATATCACTGCCAACTCTGATATCCTGTGAGTCTGGGTGTCTATAGATGAACTGATGGACTCACAAGATTTTTTTATTGATCTGAAATTCTATCCATCTGTACTTTTGAAATGGAATAGAGTTCAATTTCTTTCTCCTTCTTTTCCTTTTCCTATACCTATCCCCCCCCCCCTCTCGGTAGCTCAAACACAATTAGACCAAGAATTCTGAATTGATCTATGCTCACTCATAGTCTGTCTCTGTAAGGGGGAGAGGCATAGAGTCTTAGAGGTTTATTTCTATAACCCTATATCTACCATGCTAACCTACTACCCCTGCCAAAGATTGCACTATTCATACTGAGGCATTTGTCATTTTCTCCCTGGGTGTCTCACAGCTGATTGTTTCTAATGGTAGTGGAAAAGAGAGATATTTTCTTGTCACATAATGCATAGCTGTGGTGTTTCCCACTGAGCTCAGCAACATTTTTCTTGGAAGGGTGGAAATTATCTACTTCAGCTCTCTTATCACCCCACTTGCTGGTAATAAGTTGTGTTTTGATGCTAGCTACTGCTGCACCTGAGGAAAATACCTTGGCTTGGGAGAGAGCTGGTTGTTAGGGGTGGGTGAGTTGTGGGGAGATGGACTGAATGGGATCTACACCAACTCACACATCTGGAGTCATGGCCAACCATTCTGGATACTACCTGCTTCTTTAGGATCCTCTGGTAATGTGTCTTTACAATTTGGAACTGGATCCTATCGAATCCTGATATTGGGCAACCTGATTTCAAAAATATCTGAATCTGTTTAAGTGGTAAAGATCAGAAAATAGATTTGATTCCACTTGCCACATCTATACTTCAGCAGTGAATGCAATTTTTAAGATGGTCTTAATATGAAGAAAAGGTTACAAGAAGGGAAGCAACTAAAGACAAATCTCTCTACTTCAAAAGTTACCACAGTCTGAGTCTAAATAGAGATTCAGTTGTCAATGTGCTTCACTGTGAGTCAATTCAGTGTATATTCTAGTACAGGGCTCAAGAATAACAAGTAATAGCAATCCCTCAAAGGGTTGAACTCTTTCTCAATGCTCTATGTAGGATGCAGAACTGTTGATGGAGTGGATATATGGCAATTCATATTTCTATGCCAGAAGAGGCTTCACTGCACTAGTGGATAGAGTCAGCCTCAAAATGTGGAAAAGTAGGGATCACTCCAGGCCTGTGCTCTGTGATCCCAGCCAGCATCAGCAGGTGAAGCTGGCCATATTGTATATTATTGTTGTTTATAATTAGCTGTGATTTAAATGCCCCTCAAGCTGCTTATTTTCCTCTGTGACACTTTATTCACAGATCCATCTTGTCACTGCTGTTCCTGATGTGTATACTCCCAATTCCATCAAGTGAAGCTGCCCCAATGCCATTTTAATCAAATTCACCTATATAAAAACAATATTTGGGGGAGACAGACCAGTCCCACAAAGTTAATTGACCTTAGGCCATGTTCCTACCCTCAGCTCACACACAAGGGGTATCTCCTGTACCTGAGATTGGTCTCCCTAAAACATGGAGCTTATGGTGATCTGTGATAGAGCCGCATTCAGCAAGCTAATAAGAACCCTCAGTTTCTTTGGCTGTTTTGGAGTGATCATTGTAATGCTGAGAGTAAGTAAGTAGCACTTGCCCCACTGAGCCACATCTGCTGGATGGGGTGGGAAGAGCCCAAATACATAGCATTGTTGTCATAGCATTGTTAGTGTAGCAAAATTTTAATCTCAGATGATGGATGGATTTTTGCACTGCAGAAGATAGCCATGCAAATGAATGCATTCATCAGAACAAATCCAGCAGTATAAAGTGTTGGCAAGGCCCTGGATGGTGTGGCTCAGTTGATTGGGCATCTTCCTATGCACCAAAAGGTTGCCCATTTGATTCCCAGTCCAGGGTACATGCTGGGTTGAAGGTTTGATCCCCAGTAGGGGGCGTACAGGAGGCATCCAATAGATATTTCACTCCACATCAATGTTTCTCTCTCCCTCTCTTTTCCTCTCTCTATAAAAATAAATAAAAAATCTTATAAACAAAATAAAAAAAGTGCTGGAAAGAGCTGCTACACACCATCAAAGTGGCAAGGAATGCAGGTGGTCTTCCCGCCCTCTCCCCATCATCTGGGACTAACCACAACCTCTCAAAACACAGAGAAGGTAGCAGCACTTCACACACTACACCATGATTTGTAACCCTCTAACCAGCCAGACAACCAACTGCTATGCACTGACATGGCACCCAGTTGTTAAAATAATAAAATACTTCTAAACCAGTTGGTAAACAGCTGCAAATCCAGATATTCCATTTCTGATGCCACAGATGATTTCAAACTGCAGCAACATCAGGTGTTTGCCATGCCCCTGCTCCAGTGCTATTGCTTGAATGCATGCTTATGGGTCAAGTTCATTAAACAGTCTGAATATCACTATGGTAGGCAAAATCCTAAAATTCCCTCCCAATATTTCCCACCCTAATTGTCAGGACTATGAATATGATGAGAATACATGCATGTGATTATGTTGCATTACATAGCAAAATGGATTTTGAAGATGTAATTAAGGTTACTAATCAAGGAGATTATTCAGATGGGCCTAATCTAACCAAATGAATCCTTTAAAAGCAGCATTTTCTCCAGTTTTTAGCAGGAGAGAATGTCAAAGGTTCTAATCACAAGAAAGATTTGATGTGCCATTGCTGGCTTGAAGCTAGAGAGAGCCATATGAGAGCCTCAAAGTATAATATAAAATTGCCTTTACATAAAAACAATAATTAGACAAGGATCCAGATGGAAGCAGAATAAGTGGAAGTTACACTCATCTCCTCCTGAATTACAACTAAGTTATAAAACAGTCATCCTGAATAACCAACTGAAGACTAGCTGAAGAAAAATCTTATAACCAAGGATTTACAGAAGAAGCCACATCAAGAGGGTAGGAAATATGGAAATATGAAAAGGGATGCCCAATTCCTCTAGGCAGCAGCTGAGGTTCCAAAGGGATATATGAGCTGTGGGGTGTTCCCCCTGAGAAGCATGGGGTCTAAACTCCAAGCTGAGCTCCCCAGCACAAAGCACCAGAGCCGGGAAGAGACACCCACATAATATCTGTCTGTAAAAAGCAGCAGGGTTTCTGTCTAGTAGGGAGCGGTGGTAGCCCACTAGAGACACAGGCACCCTCTTAAAGGGCCAACACACAAGATTTCATTTTCAGACACTCACCCTGGGCTCCAAAGGAGGGAAGGCAGAGCAGACTAGAGCCGAGTGAGGAGAGTCTGGTTTTTGTGGCTCTGGAGAGGGAGCTGAAGGGATAACCACCAGAACACCTGTGCTAAGTCATTCTCCTATACCTCACATGCCATCTTTCTTTGCTGGAGCACACCCCTCCTTAAAGCAGAAGCCTGGGGGAATCAATTGCCCCACCCTCTGGACTCCTTGTCGCCCCACCTTGTGGATCTTACACCTGCTGAGGAGCATATCCAGAGCCTCTTTCAATGACTGAGTCTAATAGGCAGCTGACATATGGATATAGGTGGATCTTGTCAGGGTGCCTTTGGACTTTTGCTGATATGCCCCCAGGTTCAATGCTAGTAAAGGCCAGCATTGGTGTGAAGCTTGGTTATTCCCATTCACATTCAGGTTGAGCAGAGGTAGCCACAAACTATGGATTGTTTGTAGCTCTAAACAGGTTGCCAAGGGCCAGTCAAAGGCAGCAACTTACATTGGCCTGCACCATAGTCCCTCCCAAGAGGCCCAGAACCAACCTAGTGGCCAGCTTTAGATAAGATCCAGAACAGGATTGAATAAGCTACACAAGCAGCATATCCAAAGGAAGGTTTTGGCAGGCACCAAGACCTGCTGAGGCAAATTCTGCTTCCTGTGATTAGTATTTGCAAAAGAGCTCACATGACGTGGTCAGGGTTGAGCCTCACAATCAGCCAGCCTGAGGGTCAGTTGATCCCACACATGAACAGGTGGAAAGCAATCAAGACTCAATTACAACAAAAGGGCCTACATAACCCAAACAAGGGAAATTCCTGGAGCACCCAGATCAGTTGATCAAAGGAGACTGCACCACTTGACCCGACAGGACACCTACTGCATAAGGACACCCCACAAACACTGGGAATCATAGCAGATCTATAGAACACATAAAAACAAACAAAAAGAGGTAGCCAAAATTGGAAGACAAAGAAACAGGCCACATAACAGGACAGGAGAAATTTCCAGAAAAAGAGCTAAAACAATTCATACAATATAGTGTTCAAAGTAATGCTTATAAAAATGCTCAACAGCATAAAAAAGGCATAGAAACCATAAAAAAGGAACCATTCAGAAGTGAAGACTAGAGTACCTGAAATGATGAATACAGTAGAAGGAATAAACAATAAGTTAGATGAAGCAAAATGTCAAATCAGAGATTTTGAAGACAAAGTAGCAGAAAACACCCAATCAGAGCATCAAAAAGAAAAAAATAATAATTTTTAAAAATAATAATAGTGTAAGGGACCTTTGGGACAAAATGGAGTGTCAAGACATCCACATTATAGGGATATCAGAAGGCGAAGAGAGAAAGCAAGTGATCAAGAACCTATTTGAAGAATAATGAGCAAAAGCTTCACTAATCTGGTGAAGGAAAAAATACACAAAACCAGGAAGTGCAGAGGGTCCCAAATAAGATGAACCCAAAGAGGCCTACACCAAGAAATATCATAATTAAAATGGTAAAGGTTAAAGACAAAAAAAGAAAATCTTAAAAGCCACAAGAGAAAAACAGTAAGTTACCTAGAAGGGTCCTCCCATAAGACTGTCAGCTAATGTCTCAACAGAATATTTCAAGCCAGAAGGGATTGGCATGAAATATTGAAAATGATGAAAAGCCAGTTCCTACAACCAAGACTATTTTATTCAGCAAGGCTAGCTTTTAAAACTGAAGGAGAAATAAAAAGCTTCCCATCCCTGACCAGTGTGCTCAGTTGGGTGGGTGTTGTCCCATGCACTGAAAGGTTGCTGGTTTGATTCCCGTAGGGGCACATGCCCAGGTTTCAGGCTCTAATCCAGTGATGGCGAACCTTTTGAGCGCGTGTCCGAGGTGACACGCGAACTCATTTTTTTGGTTGATTTTTCTTTGTTAAATGGCATTTAAATATATAAAATAAATATCAAAAATGTAAGTC